CATAATGTTTTAACCATAAATCATTTACTAATATTAATTAGTTTATAAAAATTGTATTAATATCCATTTGGATACCATATTTGAAAATATAAATTTATTCTACAATTGTTTTATTTAAAATAACTAAATTGTATCCATATAATTTTAACTAGAGTTGAGTTTTTTTGTTATAAACTTACAATTCTACAAATAAAATATTTTACAATTTTTATAGAAACATGATAGGTTTATTGATATTGGTGAAATCCAAACAGTTTATACAAAAAAAAATTGAAAACAGAAAATTATTGTTTGAATTTCGAAAAATGATCCGTTTCACTTTTTATTATTTTTTTAGTTTTTATATTTTAAAATATTTTTACTAACGCGATAGTTTTTGGGTTTGGTGAGTTCAGATAAGTTTGAGAAAACTCATAATCTTAAACGTATTCGATTTACACAAAAAATATTTACTTGTAAGTCATGCAAATTGAAGTTTATATGATAAAATATATATATCAATATGGAAAATGTATCATTTGATATTTGTTGTTTTTAGTTTTTTCATTATATTAAAAAATTCATAATTTTTTTTTCAATTATTCTAATCTCGCATTTGACGCGAGAAAAAAAATCTAGTGTTTAGTGAATCTATGTACTTATGTTTCATTCTATAGAGAACATAATAACATTCTATTTTATGAATTTTCGAAAAAAAAAAGAAAAAGCCAGTCTATTTTATGTTTCATATGTAGCATGCATGACACATTTTTCTATGTACTTTAGTTACTATTTAATTTTTCTAAACTTTGTCCGTTTTATAAATTTAAATTATGGCATAAGTGAAAAAAAATCTACCTTTTCAATTGAATCACAATTTGGAATCAATTTATTCAAAGACATTTGAGCAAAAATGATTAGAAGGGCATAACAAGTTTCATTAGACACTTTAGAAAGAGAAAGAATGAATCAAGAAGAAGGGAATGCACAGAGAAAAAAGAATAGAAAGTTCAAGAAATAATGAGATTTTTTCGTCTATTCTATTTGTCAAACAGTATAAAATGGTTATTCGCTATTT